CCTTGCTGGCTGGGGAATTCTGGGAGTTGAAGTCCACACTTCTGAAAGCTGCCAAGGTTGAGAAACCCTGCACCAGAGTGTCTCCTGTATGGCTGCAGCATAAATAGAACTAATTTGATCTGATCAAGACCTGCCATCTGCCCGATAGTATTAGAGAAGTCAGTACACAGGGGGGGGGGGCAGGGAAGAAAGAGAGAACAATGCCGGCTGGAAAATCTGCTTTCGTTAAGTTGCTGGATTTGAGAGAGCAGGGAAGAGGGGCAAAGCACGGCAATCAATTGGTAATACCAGGACAAGGATGCAAGTATGAAAATCAGATTGCATATGTCTCTCCAAGCAGCTTTGCATTGTTAATGAGATCTGCGGAGGGGGAAGCCACATTCACTTCACTGCCCCCTTAAAATAACATGCAGCTCATAGTAACTGAGGACTGAGCAGCTCGAGGGTTGGAAGACTAACCTACCTGCCTCTCCAAACCTGCATTTCGGAGTTTTATTCATAAGCAGGAGCCTTGAGTCATTTTCAGCCTAAATTTGCTCAACAGCCTATCAACTACTCATTTCAGCAGTTGCTTTCTTTATTCCCTTAGTTCCAAACGCAATGAGCGAAGGAAAACTTAAGTGTCAAACCAAATAATCAGAAGGGGCAGGACTAGTAATCTGTGGTACACAGCCAGCTCCTAAAAAACTAGAGGATTCAAGAGCAAAAAGGAAATGTTCTGTCTGAAACTTCATCTAGAGGAGGTTTTGTGAAACCTCCATGAACTCTTGAGCTAGTAGCCATTTTACCAATTAAAAAAAAAACTTCAGAAAAATTGCTAAGTGGTTTGAAACACGTGCAGAGACCCTTCTTAAGGATGTCTGGCATTCAGCATCTAACCCTGAGCCTAGGACATTAGAAGCTGCACAGCTGAGTTCATATCACACTAACCTAGTTTGTTTCAACCGCTGCATACTGAATGAACGGTACCTTCAACACGCTGAGCCCATAAACCATGGTTTACAAGCCCTTAATCTCTAGTGCAGTCCAATCCTCCAACTCATACCTTATAATAAGTCATACCATGGTTCACATGACACCTTCAGCTGAAACCAATCAAACTACCTTATAGCTTGGTATAATATGTGAACTGGAAGGTTAGACTGGACAAGAGACTTTGCTGGAAAGAAGAAACAAGCAAAGAATTGTTGTTAAAGTCAAAGTGGAAGATGGAAGGGAGATTAGCTTGGCAGCTTTTATGTCAACAAATCCAGAGGTAATTTAAAATGTTCTATCAGATAAGAGGAGAGCCAGTTTGGCGTAGTGGTTAAAGGCAGTGGGCTAGAAACTGGGAGATGGAGTTCTAGTCTTGCCTTAGGCACGAAGCCAGCTGGGTGACCGTGGGCCAGTCCCTCCCTCAGCCCAGGAAGGAGGCCAGGGCAAACTACTTCCAAAAAAACGTTGCCAAGAAAACTGCAGGGGCTCCAGGCACTTGTCAGGAATCAAGACTGAGTTGAAGGCATCCAGTAAAATAAGAAAGAATATGTAAGAAGAGTTAAAGCACCAGGATGCTTTCACAGAAACACAAAGCCCTGCAACTATTCTGCAGACCTTCTGCTGGCCTAATAAGCATGTCACCTGCACATGGACTTTGATATCTTCTCATGACGACATCTACTATTATCTTTTCTACAGGAAGTTCAACAGCCAGTGCTTTGCTGCACAAGGCCAAAAACTTACTCAAATGCTCTTCCTACAGCAACAGCCAACGTGAAGCGCAAACAGGGAGCTACGCATCTCAGCAACGGACTGTGAGACCCCCTGCCCACCTGCAAGACATTCCTGCATAATCCCCCAGAGGTGGAGGGAGACTGGGCATCTAGTGTGCTCAAACACAACTGCTCAACCCGCCCCCCTGGGGCGGGGGACCAAGGCAGCATCTGGCACTACATCAGTTCCTGGTATTTTCTGGAGCAAGAGTCATATCATGTCAGCTTACACTGTGGATTAGCACAAACATTTTTTTAAAAAAACTGTTCCTTCCCAATACGTCCTATGGTGTTTCCCAGGATTAATTAGAGACTCTTTGTACTGTACCATTTAAAACTATTATGTTCTCCCCCATTCTTGGGGTAGTGGGCAAACAGGATGCTTCACCCTGAAAAGCACCACAGATCCGAAACTAAATAGGAAAAGGATGTAGCATTTACAGGTCTATGCAAGAATTTGTATACTACCCCGGAACCACAGATGCCGGGCAGTCAATAATCACAATAAAAATAAAAAAAGCCCCTGCTCATAAACCCACAAAAGCCATCCTCATGCCCAACCAGTAAAAGCCTGTTAAATAAACAGGGCCGCCGGTTCCTCACCCAGAGCCTACACTCGACAAAATGCACGGAGGGCGGGTGCCAAAGAAGTCAAGACGGTGCCCCTTTTTTAACCGGTGTTGCATGCATGTTGCTGGTAAAACAGGGCTCTGACTGACACGCACGTCGGGAATGCCCCTGTACACTACTTGTCCGTTTCCCACTGTGGGTGCTAAAAGGGATGAAAATATAAACTACTCCAGCAGGAGCCTTGATTCCCCCAAATGATTCAGCTCGCTCCAATAGCTTTGGCACAAGTTTAGCCCCAGATTCTCATTAGTGCTCGTGGAATCAAGTTCCAAGTAAAAACAGGGCAGGTTCTAGTCTTGGGATTTTTCATTTCGCGTTGAAACAGCAGCACAGCTGTACCCATTCTATCATCTCTGCGGCTGCAGATTCAAAATCTGCTCCCGCCCTGGAAAGCTGATCACGCACAGTGGTTCAAACACACCGAACACCCAGTTTTAATGCGCTGATGATGTGAACCAGTTGGGTAATGAAAGACTTGCAAACAAACCACCAGGCTCAGAAGCACCAAAGACTCCACCCAATTTTCACCTCTGGAATCTCTGCTGCAAAAACTTCAGATTACACCATGAAAGAAATGGAGGTCTTTGCACCACCACACCGCTCTGCCAGCAGGGAGAGGGGCTACACTGGAGTTGGGCAGCCAAGACATTTAAACAAAGGAACACACACCCTTCGGATGGTCTCGGTCGAGAAGATGCCGCCTTCTGCATGATGGAAAGAGCAGGCTGACTCTTTCCCCAGCTATTCAGTAAACGGAGAACTTATTTTCTGCTACCACCGAAGCGTTTGGAGATAACGCTTAACTTATACTTGTTCTGGTGTGTGGTAGTTATATTCCAAGATGCATGCAAATGTTTTTAATTCCATCATTAGAGCATTTGAGGGTTTTGCATCTGTGCTTCAGCAATCCTTACAAAATGCTCCACAGATGCTCATCGCCAACTCGAAACGTCACAAAAGGGGAAAACAATAAATTCTGAGAAGCAGCTAATAATTTCTGCAGCGCTTCTTCCACGTGGGAAAGAGAGGCTGGCGATTTCATCCCACAGTGCAATCCCCAACCCGGCGCCCTCTACCCATGAGTAGGCCGCATCTCTCAGAATTCCCCACTTTGGGCCACCCTGGCTGGGCATCCTGGGGGCTGCAAGTCGCGCACATCTGGCAGTCTCCTGAAAAGCCCCGTGGAGCTGGGCAAGGCCGAGGAAGCAAGAGCTCCTCCGACATCAGGAAGGTGTTTTTAATGCTAGTCTGTAAATGCAGAATTGTGGAACCTGCAAGAGGAGTTTCCCAGCCCTGTTCGCAGCGAGTTAATTAAGGCGGACCCTCTCAGGGCGCTTGGCACCCTTCCTTCCCCGAATTCTTGGCCCTCGGCCCGGGTTGGGGTTTATGAGATGCCAACAGAGCCCCCTCTTATCCCTTCCCTGTTTATGTCTGCTCTCTCTTCCCCTCCTTTCCCAGCCTCCCCCAAAATCTCTCCCTGCATCAGGCTGAGGAAAGGCTGCTGTGTGGTAATTTACTCAAAGCAGGTTCTCTGCGAGTATCTTTGGGCTTCGCGGCTGGCAGGGAACTGAAGCTCTCGCCCCAGACCAAGAGTTTTCTCCAGCTTACCACAGGTTAAACTGGGTTGCCTTCTTCCTCCTTACCGAGCAACTCCCTTTTGCCTTCAGGATTTAGGCGTTGTGCTGCACACAAGCCATCATTGTCAGGCTTAAAGGAGAAGGTTAACCAACCACATTCCACAGCACTCGCCAAGCCTACACATTCTTTCCAAATGGATGCACACTTGAAATGCCGAGCAATGACATAATGCCAGATCGTGGGTCAGTCCCGGAGAATCCAAGGCCAACCTTTCAGCTGACACGGCGCCACTGAGAGGCAGGGTTTTTGCTCAGCACCGACACGTTCCAGTGGAACAGAACTGCAATGGCCGAAGGAAGAAGCGTCTCGGTGAGCCTGGGCCTGGAGTCCCCTTCCCAGACCTTCTCCGTCTGTCCCCAGTTCGGGAGTTGGAAACTAACCTGGAAGGAGGACCAACTAAGCCTGCAGTTAATGCAGATCTTAGAACCGGCAAATCCAATTGCTTGTCAGCTGCACCTAAGAGGATCATTCCCAGACATGAGTGGTGATCTTCCAACCTGACAAATGACTTTGCTGGGCCCAATTCTGAAGAACTACAAACCTACCATGGACAGAACAGGCCCACCAATAGTCAGCCATTCATCCATTAGAGACCCACCAAGAGGCCAAGTTAGAGTCCTCAAAAATTAGCGTAAGGCTCACCTACCCACAGCACTGACTTTGCAACGAGAACCAGATCTCCTTCCTTAGACACGGTGAGCAGAGGCATTTTCCTGCCAACACACGCTCATGAGAAACTTAAAGGTTCCTCAGATGTCTCCTTCAGATTACCTTCTGCCACGTACAGAACAGCAGTTGGACATAACTACTGTGAGACGTTTCTGGAAGTAATCTTGCTAATAATTCCAGCAAAGTTTTGTGGTTGACCAAGGCTAACAGCACCCTTTTCGGCTATTAATGAGATATTAGGGAAAATAAACAGCAAAACTTCACTTTCTGCTCCCCCCAAAACTCTTCTCCTCTTCAATTATGAAGAAAGTGTTTCCTACTGTAATTTAAATGGACTAGAAGACAGGAGAAGAAAAGAAAAAGTAGGGAAATCACTCACATACTATAAAAGGAGATCAATCTATTTTATTCCCAAGAGAATTTAAATTTAAAATTTCTCCATACAGTTACCATTTTAAAACACTGCACAGAAATGCAGATAAAGAACGGGGATGTTACTTTATGCCAGTGTTTCTCAACCTTATCAACTTTAAGATGTGTGGACTTCAACTCCCAGAATTCCTCAG